GGTGCGGCAGGGGCTGGCTGCAGGCAGGGGGTACGGGGGTGGCTGGAGACGGGCTGGCTGCGGGCAGGGCAGGGGGTGCGGCAGGGGCTGGCTGCAACCAGGGGGTCCAGGGGTGGCTGGAGACAGGGGCTGGCTTTGGGTAGGGCAGGAGGTGCGGCAGGGGCTGGCTGCAGGCAGGGGATGCAGGGAGTGCATGCGGCAGGGGCTGGGTGCGGGCAGGGCAGGGGGTGTGGCAGGGGCTGGCTGCAGGCAGCGAGTGCGGGGGTGGCTGGAGACCGACTGGCTGCGGGCAGAGCAGGGGGTGTGGCAGGGGCTGGCTTCAGGCAGGGGGTACAGGGGTGGCTGGAGACAGGGGCTGGCTGCGGGCAGGGTGGTGGGTGCTCACGGGGAGAGCGGCTCAGAGCAGCCCGAGCAGCAGGACGCAGCCCAGGCCCAGCAGAGCAGCCGGGGACCCACCAGGCAGCAGCGGGAGCCCCAGGGCCAGGAGTCGGGGGAGCAGCAGCAGCACCAGGGCTTGTGCCCAGGGCCAGGCAGCAGCCCACATGGCTCCCGCAGCGCAGCGCCCCCGCCGGCCGGAGGAGGAATAACATCACTTCCCGACCGGAGCCCATCAAAGCCTCAGCACCCCCCGCAGGGAAGCGGGTTAACAACCGGTTCTAAAACTGCTTCAAAATTTAACAACCGATCCATGCGAACCGGCTCCAGCTCACCGCTGCGATAGGGTGACTTCCAATAACCAAAACAAATGTAATTTAATGGCCTGATCCAAATGCTGCTCAAGGCAACAAAAGACTGTCTTTGACCTCTGTGGGAACTAGACTGGATCCTATCTTAATAGCACCGTGTTCCAGATTAATTTCTAACTATGAGATTATTCCCCCCCCCAGATAAATTACAAATGCAAATTCAAATCAAATATAGCTTTTTTTTCCCCAGTATCAACAAGGCCTTTGGGGAAAAATATAATTCTTTTCACATCTATGTGACTGACAGTTGTGGAGACTGAAGTCCTTGGGGCCTGGCCCAGGAAGCCCCAGGGGAAGCTTCATCACTGTACTAGCTTGTCTCAGCCTTGACCTGGAGGGGCCATCTCTAGTGGAGAGTGGGCAGTTCAGTCTCCCTGCCCAGTCAGTCCTTGGCATCTGACACTGTAAGCAATGGTGTGCATTATGATGGTTTCCCATGACGTGTCTACTGTGAAAAGAACTGTGTAGCCAGCTCATTCCCTGTATGCCCGTGAACAGCCATCAGATGATCACTGGTAACTTTTTGTTGGTCACTAGTGCTCTAGCTCAGTTCCATACTGGTGATCTAATGGTGAAAGGCTCTGAATCCCATTCCAATCCCTATTGTTAGGGACTACTACTGTTCCAGAACACTAATACAAAAAAGAGGAGGGCCGATCCTGCTTCCATTGAATGGGAATTCTGCCACTGACTTCAATGAGAGGCAGACCGATATAGTATGTGGAGGGTTGTGCACCAATAGACAGTCTGGGTCTGTCTTTGTTAAGCCAGAAGAATGCCTCATATGTTGAATTTCAATCTGTCTTAATGGCCTCTAAGTATCTCGGAGAGCTGTGATTGAAGACAAATGAGTTCATGCATTGTAAACAGAACATACATTAAATGTATCTTTGTAACAGTCATAAACAATATGAATGTTGCCATGACGGATCAATCACTACTAATTTGGCAACTTGTTTATGCCAGTTGGTTGCAAAGGCTCCCTGGTGATGGGGACATTAATATTATACCCACGCTGACTGCTTCTGGAACTGGTGATAATAATGAACTTATAACAGCAGTCAACAAGGGACCTGATGCCGCAGCCAGTGGAGAGGCTGCAACAAAGGGCTTGGCATACACAGTGTCTAATCTTGTTTGTCTTCTCTGCCATTGGTATCTGGTTTTGTATTGTAAGTGTGCTCAGTGCTGCATGGAGCAGAGGGGAAGACTGTCTCTGTCCAAAGGAGAACATTTGGTGTGGTGTGTGCCTGAAATGTCCAGATTTTAAAGCTATCCTGTTTCTCCCTCTAGAAGTCTGTAAAACTCTGACTTAATAGTGCTTTGTGATGTGTTTGGGGCTTGCTGTGCTTGAGGCAAGTTACGCATGTGGCAACTTCCTACCTGAGCGAGACTCTCTCTCTGTGTCCTCAGAGTCCTAGGTACTTCCTTTCCTGGCTAAAATGTGATTGTGCTGCTTGTTACTCTGACTTAGCACCGGGAGAACGACTAGGATTCTGTTCTGCACCATCAGCCGAATCGTTACTGAATTCCAGTGACGGGGTTTCTGTTACTGACGGTGAGGCGATAGGAGCCAGACAAGACCCAGCTTGACTTTCATATGCTAGGTTGACTCTGCAGGTTGAGTTTGCCGCAGGCTAGGTTGAGTTTGCAAATGAAAAGATGACAATAAACAGGGAACCCTAATGCCGTCTTCACTGAATTACTGCTCGGAAAACAGGCACGCTTTAAGATGGGTTTCACCATAATAAGTTAGGAGATGGCAAAAATAGGACACTGGGGGTTTGACAGGTGTACCTTTACCAGCCGTTCTAGTTCAAATGCTGATAATATTGAAGATAACGTTTCTGTGGTGCTGGGATCTCTTCCAGTTGGGTTGGAGCAGGAAAGGCTAAGGTTAAAGAAGAATTTCAAAATAATACTTCTCTCCCAACCCTTGAGTTTTTCAGCTACTACTGAACATGATTCTCTTTTATCTCTTGGTCTCTTCCGGTCCTCTTCCATGCTTTGTTTCTCTCTCCATCCTTCGACGGTGCCCAGCGATAACCTATTGACCGACGGCACTGTGCCAGCAGCACAATAGCCCTTTCTCAGCTGCACCAAGACTGGATTGTTTGTGCCAAGCAATGGTGATGTCTCTTTAAAAGGATTGCAGACCTGAACCATCCAGTCCAGTTGCCCCAGGCACAGGGGGGCATTTTGAGCACATAACCTCTTTTCTACACAAAGAGCCAGAGCCATTTTAATACTATAGGAGGATACGTTAGAAGCTGCTGCTGTTTGGAAAGAAGGTTTCATGTACCTGCTACAGGAGCTTGCAGAATTAATACCCCATAGCATGGCAGTGCCCTGAACTGCAGCCTCATTCGGCTGCTGCCAGCGCCCTCAGGGACGTGTTTACCATGCAGTCCTGGGAGGAGAAGCAGAGGAGGGGAGAAAATATTGTATCTTTCCAGCCCATTTACGGCAGGGTTTTCAAAGCCACGAAGGGGATTTGGATTCCCATGGAAATTGGATGTCCGACTCTTAGGCAGCTTTGAAAATATCTCACCTGTTGGGCTTAATTCTGCCCTTGGCGGGGGAACCCCATGCCTGGGATTTCAGTTGGAACTACACAGCTGTGTCATAGGGTGGAATTGAGCTCTGAGTGTTGCAGGGAGTTGTCCTGCTGTGTGGGCTCATTAATGTTAGCAACAACAACAAACATCAGAAAATGTTTCCAATATAGGTGTAATTTGCTGGTACCTCTGGTGTAGAGGGGCCTGGCTGTTGTGGAAGCACTGTATGTGGGGTGGTGGAGGATTTGGGGAACCTGCCCAGGGGGTCTTGGAGCCCAGCTCCATGGGGCCTCCTTGTCTGCAGCTGGGGCAGAGTTGCAGACATGGGCGGCCGGTGACCTGGCCGTTGGGGGAGGCTAGCACTCCCAGCCCCTCCCCTTGTGCCTAAGGCCCTGTCCCTCCCCTTCTGCCCTCCACCCCCGCAGGAGCTCAGTGCCCAGAGCACCCCCACCGCAGCCCCCGGCCCCAGCGCCAGACAGCCAGGAGGTGAGGCCTCGGCCCTGGTGCTCCAGGAGGCCAGCACAGCCCCAGGCACACCGAGTCCCTGCGGGAGCCAGGCCAGCCAGCCAGGGCAGAGAGCTGGGAACTGCAGGAGGGGGCCTGGCCTGGCCTTGGGGTGCAGCATGGGTGGGGCCACATGAGGCTGTTTGGGGAGGCACAGCCTACCCCTGCCTATAATACCCGCTGCCCATGCAGGCAGTGCAGAGGCTGCCCCCACCCCCCCACCAGAGAACTGCATAGCAAACAGCTCAGCTGCTAGGCTCTCGTCCTGGGAGAGGATTGGGGCTGCTGAGGGTGGTGAGGCTTTAGAGTGTGCATACGCAGTGCCCACATGGGGTTAGTTGTGCAAGCTCCTGTTGGCATGAGACGTGGCGCATCCACGATAACTTTTTCTTTGAGAATCCCGATCTCTGAAGAGGAGACTTTGTGAACACAGTGAGCTGGAGCCTGCAGCACCCCTTGGGACGGGAGTTTAAATCTGTGACTCCACTGGCAGGTAGCTCTCAACTTAGATGACGCTGCAGCAGGAGATACGAATGCTTACTTGAAAACGTACCAGCTTTTCCTGATCAAAGCAGAACTGTTGTCTTTTTAATAATAATAGTTTATCACTGGCATTTGTTTTTAAATCAAAATGCACATCTGTGGTGGTCTGAATTAATAACATATTCTGTTAATGTTGGTAAAATTTGTATTACAGTAGCACCTAGAGTCCCTATGCCTTGTATAAGCATGCAGTGAGAAACAGTCCCTTCTCCATCGAGATTAGTCTAAGGCTCAGATTCTGATGCCCTTATCCAGGCTGGTAGATCCTTTCTCCTCAAGTATTCTCATTGGTTTCCGCTGGTGCATGGTACTACTGAATGTGAGGGAGGGGCTCAGAATCTGCCCCTAAGTAAAGAAAATAGCAAAAGCCATTACTTGAAGGTGACCCTTCTGAGACATCTGGGTTCTCCCATACATCTGCTGCCACTCAGTCCTGGCTGCCCGTACATTGGGGCCTGTTTTTTATCCCCCTCCACTGTAAACTAGTGATTCTATTGGAATCAGTGGAGTTACATCCACGTGAATGTGGTTTGAGAGGCGAATTGGGCCCAATAAGACCAGAGGGGTTTGGCCCCCAATAAGGTAAGAGGAACCTTTAATTTTTGTTGACTATTTTGACCAAAAGGACTGAAAGTTTTTTCTATCCTAGGTTAATGGAGACGGCTAGAGAAATGACCAGGGAATCCTTACCTATCAAATGCCTTGAAGCAGTTATCCTGGGGATGTATCCTTTTCTCCATGTGCAGTTTGTTCCAATGTGGGTAACCACTTAAAAATAATACTAGTTAATGTATCTGCACTTTAGGGATGCGGGATGACAACCCCAGTGGAAGGTGAGTTAAGGGGGCTCCATGTGTCTAAGTGATTTTCAGTGATTGATTGAATAAAGGAATCCTCCTTATTAGGAACTCAGCATGGTACTAGGGCCTGAACTACTAGTGTCAATCAGCATAATCCTATTAAAGTCAACTCCATTGACTTTGACATCTGTTTACACCATCTAAGGATCTGACCCTAAATGCCTACATAAATAGCTGTCTAGTTCGGCTCTTAAACTCTTCCATCGCCATCCTGGGCAAATCATTAACAGCCTGTTAACTGAGTTTGAAATTCAGGTCTGTACTATCTAGGTTTCTATAACACATGCCCAACACAGTACTATCTGAGTCTTGCTGCCTTTTGTCTCTGATCCCCTGTAATTGTGCTGTGTACAGAACTAAGCATGTGCATGTTGTAATGTAGCCAAACCTTTAAACCACTGTAAAGTAACACTCTGGTTCTTATTCAAACCCAGAAAAGCAAAGGACGTTCAGCTTTCAGGGTGAGACTCTCTTCCTTGTGAATTAACCTGCTTTGTCCCAAGGTACTGTCGTAGCACAAGACTGGGCTGCATGTGCTGCTGCCTACCATGTGTGTTCTGATCCTGCTCCCAGGGAAGTTCAGTGACCGAGCATTGAGGGCCCTAAATGCAAAAGGGTAGGGCTTTCAAGTGATTAAAAAAATTAATCGCGCGATTAAAAAAATTAATCCATAATAGAATACCATTTTATTTAAATATTTGTGGATGTTTTATAAATTTTCAAATATTTTGATTTCAGTTACAACACAGCATACAAAATGTACAGTGCTCACTTTATATCTATTTTTGATTACAAATATTTGCACTGTAAAAAACACAAGCAATAGTGTTTTTCAATTCACTGCATACTAGTACTGTAGTGCAATAACTTTATCATGAAAGTTGAACTTACAAATGTAGAATTATGTACAAAAAAATAACTGCATTCAAAAATAAAACAATGTAAAAGTTTAGAGCCTACAAGTCCACTCAGTCCTATTTCTTGTTCAGCCAATGAGGTTTGTTTACATTTGCAGGAAATAATGCTGCCTGCTTCTTATTCACAATGTCACCTGAGAATAAGAACAGGCATTTGCGTGGTACCTTTGCAGCCGGAGTCACAAGATATTTACATACCAGATGCATGAAAGATTAATATGTCCCTTCATTCTTCATCCACCATTCCCGAGGACATGCGTACCTGCTGATGGCAGGTTCTGCTCAATAACAGTCCAAAGCAGAGCAGACTGATGCATGTTCATTTTCAAAATCTGAGTCAGATGCCACCAGCAGAAGGCTGATTTTGTTTTTTTGGTGATTTGGGTTCTGTAGTTTCTGCATCGGAGTGTTGCTCTTTTAAGACTTTTGAAAGCATGCTCCACACTTCATCCCTCTCAGATTTTGGTAGGCACTTCAGATTCTTAAACCTTGGATCAAGCATTGTAGCTATCTTTAGAAATTTCACATTGATAGCTTCTTTGCGTTTTGTCGGATCTGCAGTGAAAGTGTTCTTAAAATGAACAACATGTGCTGGGTCATCATCCGAGACTGCTATAACATGAAATATATGGCTGAATGCAGGTAAAACAGAGCTGGAGACCTACAATTCTCCCCACAAGGAGTTCAGTCACAAATTTAATTAACGCATTATTTTTTTAACGAGTGTCATCAGCATGGAAGCATGTTCTCTGGAATGATGGCCGAAGCATGAAGGGGCATACAAATATTTATCATATCTGGCATGTAAATACCTTGCAATGCTGGCTACAAAAATCCCTGTTGTCACCAGAAAGCGAGATTGTAAATAAGAAGTGGACAGAATTATCTCCCAAAAATGTGAACAAACTTGTTTGTCTTAGCGATTGGCTGAACAAGAAGTAGGACTGAGTGGACGTGTAGGCTCTAAAGTTTTGCATTGTTTTGATTTTGAGTGCAGTTATGTAACAAAAAAAATCTACATTGTTAAGTTGCATTTTCACAATAAAGAGGTGGAACTACAGTATTTGTATGAGGTGAATTGAAAAATACTATTTGTTTTGATTATCATTTTACAATGCAAATATTTGTAATAAAAATAATAATATAAAGTGAGCACTGTACACTTTGTATTCTGTGTAATAGAAATCAATATATTTGAAAATGTAGAACAACATCCAAAAATATGTATTAAATTTCAATTGGTATTCTGTTGTTTAACAGTGAGATTAAAACTGCGATTAATCACGATTAATTTTTTTGAGTTAATTGCGTGAGTTAACTGTGATTAATCAACAGCCCTACAAAAGGGTGAGGTAAGATCTCGTGCTTTCTCCAGGAGAACTGTTTCATGACATTCGAAATGCTGATTCCATCAACTTTCCTTCTCTCATCTACCTTCCCCACGACAAAAATAGAAGCTTCGTCTAGTGTCTTCCATGCAAACTGTCTGAATGAGGGCCAGGATCTGCTCCCAGTCAGACCCAAACAGCCCCATTGAAACTGGGAATAGATTCAGGGCCAGAATCTTTACAACTTGATCTTCATTTGCAAAGATGTCTTTTAGAATACTGGTGCTACAACTGAAAGGAACCACAGTCAACCCTCTCCTTTGGATGGAGCTGACTTTGCCTGGCTAGTGGCTGTTGCGTCAGTGAAGTCCATGAGTGGTCCCTCAAGTCTACAATGCATTTGTGCTTGGTTAAAATGATAGAAAAGGGAAAAGAGACATTGGGTTTAATTCTGATCTCATTTGTGCCTGCTTTACACCCATTTAACTCCGCTGACTTGAATGGTGTTGAATTTATACCTATAGGAAAGTTCAGAATCAGGACTTCAGATGTTCGTTATCTCTTGCCTGATGGTTTCTGCCCTCTTGGACGTGAACAACCTTTCCGACAGGTTTTAAATAGGGGTGGGGAAGTGGCTCATTTGGGTTTTCCTGGAATGTTATTAAAGCCTCAGGGAGCCATCTGTGGGACGAAAATAACATAATTTCTGATCATCTGATAGTATTTCACTTTCTGGATGGTAGAAGTAGGAGGGAAGATCAGATCTTATATTATTTTGGGCCCATAAAAGTAGAGAGACAATCCCCACACCTAAAACTTCCCCACCCTCCCAATGAAAATCAAAAGGACAGCAGCTAGTACAGTGACTATGCAGGTCTGGGAATCCTATGCACACCTGTAGTGTCAAGCTGTGAGGGCCAAAGACTGACTCCAGGAACAAAAGAGATGATCTGTGATGCCTGTAATCATGGTGTTATGTCATATGCCATCCTATTATTTATATACACATAGAGATGGGAATGTACTTGCATACATACAGAATGCTTATAGGCATGTCACCTAAATATGATGTTGCTAGGCCTAGTAGAAAAGTTTCTGCTGAAACTTTTTTGTCAGAAAATTTGGTTTTCAAGGAAATGACTATTTTTGTGGGAATTGTCTGCTTCCCTTGAAAACTTTATTAATTTTTAGTCAGCAAACTGAGAGCCCCCAACTTGGAAACTTTTAGCAGTTTTTGGATAATTGTTTTGGCAATTTTCAACAGTTTTCAGTTTTGGCTGAAATTTTTTGACTTTCCTACCAAAAAAGCACAATTTTTCATGGAACATTTGACTAAAAACTGCTTTCCTGTTAGTTTCCCTAGACAACCCCACCCATTTTCCAGCCACCTGGCATTGCTGCCAGGGAGGGGATGGAACCTCCTGTAGGAGCTCCTTCCTCGTGTAGACTTTGAACCCCCAGGAACTAGTAGCTGGTCCAGGTGTCATGTGCATGGCTACATGTTCAAAACTCACCATCAAAATTTCTTGTGCAAAGTGTGATGCCCCCAGGGCCTGTTTGTGAATGTAGTTGCTGGGTGCTGTGTAGGAGGCATGCTGAGCGAGCCGGAAATGTGCCGGGAGGGCTCAGGCTCGTTTGCCCCCGAGCCTGGGCGGGGAGTGGAAGCTGCCTTCCGGCCAGGCTCTCTCAGGCAGCTGCCAGCCTGTCACTCTGCAGAGTAGCGTCCCAGCGGCCGGAAGGGCCTAGTCCTGCCCTTTCTAGGTCCTGCTCCTGGTCCCCCAGCCCCTTTCACTCCCTGGCATCTGGGGATGTCCCCCTGATGTGTCGCCCAGCCCTGCCCTTGCTCTGCCTCTTCCTGCCCCCTGCTCCTCTCCCTCTCCCCCAGTGCCTCCTGCACGCCTCTGAACAGCTGATCCTCAGTGGGCAGGAGGCGGTGGAGGGGGAGGAGTTGATTGGTGGGAGGTGCTGGGGGAGGGGAAGCAGGGACCCGCCGGTGAGTGCTGAGCACCCACAATTTTTTTTCTGTGGGTGTTCCAGTCTTAGAGCATGCACAGAGTCAGTGCCTATGGCTGGGAATGTATTTCTGTAAAGGGACTTGGCAAGGATGGTCTGAAGGTCCTTTCGTGACAAGCATCGGGGACCTGATCCAAAGTCCACTGACGTCAACGGAAGTCTTTTCATGGACTTCATTGGGCTTTAGATCAGGCCCGTGGTATATTTTAGCAGTTTTGTCATAATCTGTGGATTGCCCCCAGACACTGTCCTCTCTGTGCAGGCAGCAGTGAGCGTGAGCATCTGTGGCTAGGTTTCCAGTTAGGAGAAATTATTTGTCATTCTCTCCCCCCTCCCTCTCCCGAATGTCAAGATGATCTTTTCAAACGTGTCTGAGCCATGCATCCCTGAATTTTGCGTTGCCCTCCGGTTCCCTTCTCTGCCTGTGGAAATAAGATACTGGTTATAATAACTTCTGTGTGCTGACAAGCTTCCCCGTTGCTTGGCTACCAAAAAGGGCATAGACCAACACAGCAGCCCTCTGTGGGAGTCTTTAAGCTGAGACCTCCTAGTGCAGAGCAGATTAGGGAGATGTCACTTTAATCAGGCTGCTTGCCAGCTTGTGCC